GACAAGACTTTTATCTTTTTGCTTCATATTGCCAGAGGCCTAACAGAAAAAGACCATCAGTATCTGTTCTTAGATAGCAAGAACAAATAAACCATTTGAACACTATTCTACTTTCACGTCTGTGTTCTTTAAGTGTATGAATGCCTTGGAAGCTCACAGAGAATGAATCGACAACCAGAGAGCCTATATAGGACAGACCTAGGCCCTCTGCATATATGTCGCTTGGTCACCATTAAATGACTTGCAAATTGTATTATAGATCATATTTATAAGATTATTCTGTTGGTTTTAAAAAGTTTTTTAAATTGGAGTTGAATTGTAAAATAAATAGGTAAATTACAGGGTGCAGTGTGTATATTTAATAAAGTACCCAACATTTGTTGGGGGGTGGTGAAGTAGAAGTCTGTGTTTTTAAACTATTGAGAAATTATCTGGTATTTGTATCAGAATTATTCACAATTAAAAGTCATTCTTGTCCATTAATAAAAATAATTTATGTGAAGCTTTTGGTAGGTTCTGGGCACAGGACAAGTGCACAGAAATTACTTGTTATTATAATGACACATATATTCTATTCTCTTCTCAATTTTCATACTGTTTTGCCTTTTATCATTTTTATGATGTACACTAATAGATTTAGGACTCCTGCATGTTCCATATAGCTTTAACCTAAGTACAAATTAAAAATCTATTGAAGTAGAAACCGGTTTAGGGTGACACAGTTTGAATTTTAGTCTTGGTCTCTCTGTTTGCCTTGATACACAAATGTATTTGTGTATGTGAGAGTATATGTATGTACATATATGTGTGTGTTAATATGTGAGTATAAGTTTATACACATGTATGGTTAACATGTGAATATCTTCTTTAAGTAGTCCACTTATTTTTTTACTGATTGTGGAGCTTATGAATTGTCTTGACCAAATGGCTAGTGACCTCCAGAGATCTTTCTGTTCCACATGCCAAACTGCCAACTCTGCTGCCACAATGGTGGGATTATAAGCCCATACGCCTGGCTTTTATAGTAAGTGCTGGGGATCTGAACTCACATCCTCATGCTTCCACTTCAGGCACTCCACAAACTGAGCCATCTCCCATTTCTTTTTCTTTTTCAAAAGGATATATATATGCTCTGTCTGCATGTACATCTGCATGCCGGAAGAGGGCACCAGATCACATTATACATGGTTGGGAGCCACCGTGTGATTGCCAGGAATTGAACTCAGGACCTCTGGAAGAGTAGACAGTGCTCTTAACCTCTCTCCAGCAAACCATTGTTCTTAAGAAAGAGGAAATACTACTTTTTATTTTGGTATGTGCTATTGTGTATTTGAGTTCCTTTGCTAGGTTCTGTCCTTTTTGTTCTTGCTGTATTGTCACATGTTTGTTTTTGTTTTTGAAGCGAGTCTTACAATGCAGCCTACACTGGCCTGGAACTTTGTTGCCATACTGCTGGCCTCAGTCCTGACTCTGCCTAAGACTTAACAGCTACCAACACATGCTGCGACTGTGCTGTCCTGTTTGTAAACTCCTTCAGAGCAGAGTTTGTGCTTTTTTTTTGTTTCAAGGTTTTCAGGAGTCGACATGTTACTGCTTTGTTGTGTTTGCTTCTGGGTCTCAGTTGCATGAACACAGGTGAATGCCACATGATTTTTTTTAGGGATGAGGTTTTACTGTGGTTGGTCTGGAATTCCCTATGTAGACCAGGCTAGCCTTGGACTCAAGCTTTACCTACCTCTGCCTCCTTTGTGCTGGGATTAAAGGTGTGCACTGGGACAGTAATTTTTGTGTTTCAAAGAAAGTTAACATAAGAGTACTTCTTCTTGAAAAGCAAGCCCTATATTATTTTTAGCCCTGGAAGGAATACGTTTATCTATTAGTTGTAACTTATTAACTTTCTGAAAATTTATGTCTGGAGCCTTAGGTCTGTTGAGTGCATGTCCAGGAAGTTGTTTTTTGGTTTTTGTTTGTTTTTTGGTTTTGTTTTGTTTTTTTCTTTTTTAAGATTTCTTTATTATGTATACAATGTTCTGTCTGAATATACACCTGTGCGCCAGAAGAGGACACCAGATCTTACTATAGATGACTGTGAGCCACCAGTGGTTGCTGGGAATTGAATTCAGTACCTCTGGAAGAACAGCCAGTGCTCTTAACCTCTGAGCCATCTCTCCAGCCCCGTCCAGGAAGTTTTGACCACAAGTTTTAATATTTATTGTGAGACTGCTAGTATTATAATGATATATAAATATTCAGATGCTTTAATATGAGATTAGGAAGGAAACTTTCTTGAACAATTAATGTTTTCATGTACTCCCATTTGATATAGTTTAACAAGAGCCCTAGAAGACAGGAATAAAATTTTATCGTACTTACAAATTATGAAGTTGAGGGTGAAACCAAGAAAAATTCATAAAAATCATAATGATTAGGGACAAAATGGCCCAGTGGATAAAGGTGCTTGCTGCTAACCCAGTGAGCTTTGTTCAGTTCCTAAAACCTACATAGTAAAAGTAGAGAGCCAACTTCCAGAAGTTGTCCTCTTAATTTCCACATATACTCTTGTACACACGTGAAAAAATATTTTTAAATCACAGGAGTTACCTGTAGCTATTGTATCTTACCTCAGTTTGTGCATTTTCAAAACTCATGTTCCATTTCTGTGGCACTTGGTAATTAAATTTCCAGTTTCCAAGTAATTTCAAGTTTTGCTGTTCAAATTTTATAGCTAGGTATAAAATTTACATACCTAAGAAAATAGAGCTCATGTTAGAAGTCAATTCTTGAACCTTGTAAATGCTTACTTCAGGTACAGATTGTTTTGCAATCCTGTTAAATAAAGGCTACTCAAATGAAATAGAAGTCTGCTGTTAACCATTGTAATTGTAACCAAAATTTTAAAAGGAAAGACTGTTAAGTTACATAGAGAGTTGGAGCAGGCAAGATATCGTGGCACATGGCCTTTAATCCCAGCACTTCAGAGGCTAGGGCCAATCTGTTCTACATAGCAAGAGCCAGCAAGAATTACACAGTGGGGAACAGGAGGAAGAGGAAGGGAGGGAGGGAGGGAGGGAAGGAAGGAAGGAAGGAAGGAAGGAAGGAAGGAAGGAAGGAAGGAAGGAAGGAAGGAAGGAAGGAAGGAAAAGCTAACCACGGAAATGAGAAGAGTTAAGTTTGGCTACAGAAAACAGTCTATATTTGGGTGTAGTGGCTTTCCCATATACGTTTAGCTTCTTTGGAGGCTAAAGGAGGAAGTTTGAAGCCAATTTGAACAACTCATTGAGATTTCATTTCTAGCTGGGCATGATGGTATTCACATTTAATCCCAGCACTCTGGGAGGCCAAGGCAGGCCAATCTCTCTGTGAGTTTGAGACCAGTCTGGTCTACAAAACCCAGGACAACCAAGGCTACACAGGGAAACCCTGTCTCGAAAAACAGAGGGCGGGGGGAGCAAGGGAAGGAGGGAGAAAGATTTCATTTCTTTTTTTTAAAAGAAAAAGATCAGACTGGCAGCACACACTTAAACCCTATACCTCAAAAGATGGGTGAGAAAGATAGTGAGTTTGAGGCCACCCTAGGCAACATATCAAGATTTCACCTCAAACAAAGACAAGATTTAAAAGAAGAAGAACTAGCAAATGAGAATAGAAGAACCAGCTAGTTCTGAGTACCTGCTGCAGATGTTCATAAGTCTGCTTGCCTTCTGAGGTTTCTTACCTTGACATGCACCTCCTATGGCATGCACTTACCCTGAGAGCAGTCAGAACAACACAAAAGAAAGAAAACCACATCAAGAGTGAGGAAACCTGGCTTTGGCTGTCCTATTTTAACAGGTTGATCCAGCAGATTAAATGTTGATTAATTAGACATTTATTCAACTACTAAGGCAGCTTTTGACTGCCACAAATCTTTGGAAAACGAACAAATTGGGTTTTAATATGTAAATGGTCTGTTGCCAGCCTTATTTGCCTAATATCTTTAAGGATTTGTTTTTATTCTATTATATGTGTATGAGTGGTTTGCTAGCATGCAAGCAAGTCCACCAGGTGTGTGTCTGGGGAGGGCAGAAGAGAGTATGAGCTCTCTTGGAATTAGAGTTATTAATGGTTGTGAGCCACCATGTAGGTAATGGGAGCTAGACTTTGGTTCTTTGCAACAGCAGCAAATGCTGTTAACTACTGAGCCATTTTTCCAACTCCTGTGTGATTGCTTTTAACAAGACATGTAAAGTCATGTTATAGGCACTTTTTTTAAAATTTAAGTTTTTTTCATACAATATGATTTCCCTTCCCCAACTCCTCCCAGATTTCTCCCAGTTCCCTAGCCATCCAAATACATCCCCCACGCACACATAATTTACAAAAACTTGAATAGAGCCAGTCATCTTATATGTATAGAAATAAAATCTCAAGATGATGAGATTCTCTGATATTACCCAGCTAATAATGGTGATCACAATGTAAATACACCTCAGAGCCCCTTGTAATTACCTCTGTTTCATTGTTTTTAATTAGAAGAACTAATATCTGTGTGTGATCAGAAAAATTTGTAGTACATTATTTTGTTTATAAGTTCATTATAAGGAGGTACTGGAGAGATGGCTTAGCAGTTAATAGCACTGGCTGCTCTTGGAATAGACCAGGATTCAATTCCCAGCACCCACAAAGTGTCACACAGCTGCCTATAACTCCTGTTCCAGGGGATTTGATGTCCTCTTCTAACCTCCACAGGGGCACATGGCCAATAAACATACATGCAAAACAAAACATTCATACAATAAAAGTAAATAAAAATACAAAACTTAAAAACGATAAATTCATTATACATGTCTCACAGAATACTCTTACTAGTCCTTTGAGGTTTAGATGATATGGTAATTCAAAAGCAACCTTGTTAAATTGGGTCTGGAAAGAATTTGTTGTATATTATTTCCCAGATTTAAATCTTTGGTTTGATCAATCAATCAGTTTGATAATAAGGTGTTTTCTTGTTACCTGTGCAGCCAAATGGACGAACTGTTGAAGTACCCGAGGATGAAGCTGTTAGAACTCCCCGAAGTATAACAGCAAAGCAGCCACTAGAGACAGATAAGAAAAATGAAAAGGTAAGCTTGGGAACATATGTATGCAAAGTTTTTAATAAAGAGAGTGACATAAAAATTCTGCTTTCATATTTGACAGGATTGTATAGCTTCCATTTAAGGAAACTGCAGAATCTAACATAATCATGTTGGATGGGTGGTGAGCGTTAAAAAAAAAAAGTTTAAAGAAAGACTGTCACCAAATATTTTAAACATTAAAGTGGCATTAGTAAATGTTTATTATGCCAAAAAGTAATTTGTGAATTGAATACCTTTTGTTTGAGTGAGGTTCTGACTTTATAGGTTACTTCTGATACAAATCTTAACATGATTGTATGTAAGAGAATTATGTTACTCATGATAATGTACTTTGTAATATAAAAAATGCTTAGCAGAATTGTTCAGTGGTGTTGTTTAAATAGCTTTCCCTTGTTAAGGAAATTGAATCATCTACCTTTTAAACAGTTGACTTTATTTAACAATAATTCTATGCTGAGATTATTATTTAAATGGTTTAGATAAGGGCTGGCCACGTGACTTAGCAGATAAAGGCATTTGTCACCAAGCCTGAAGACTTAAGTTCAGTCAATCCCCAGAACTCACCACCATAGTAGGAGAAATTGTCCTCTGACTTCCACAAGTGCTTGTACACAAGTGTGAGTATGTGTATTTACATGCTTGTGGAGACCAGAAGAAGACATTGGATATCCCTGGAGCTGGAGTTATAGAGGGTTGTGAGCTGCCCATTGTGTGCAACTGGGAATTGAACTTGGGTCCTTTGGAAAAGTAACGATTGCTCTTAACTGCTGGGCTGTCTCCAGCCTGAAGAAGTTTTGAGTTTTGTACCGAGTAATTATATCTTAGGTTATAATACTGGTTTTCTTTAAGTAAGCCTTATAGATAAAACTTGGTCTAGAAAGGAAAAATATATGTATACACATATGTTACATATGGAGAGTTAAAGTGAGCTTATGTGTGTAAAGCAGATTAAACTACTATAGTTTTGTAGGTTTTTTTAATACATTTTAATGTCTCTGTTTTTAGAGCCTAGACTAGCTTCAAACTTATGATCCTCCTGCCTCCACCTTTATAATGCTGGGATTACGGGTGCATGCCACCACATGTAGTAGTTTTCTAGATTTTTATTTTGATATGGAGTCAATCAGTGCCTCGTTGATATTAGTTTCTGGTAGAGATGGTGTAGGGCAATTATATTAGCCAGGTACTGTGCTAGATAATTACTGAAGGGTTAGAGAGATAATACTAGGTATTTTTGTTTGGTTGGTTGGTTTTGGTTTTCTTTGAAGTAGGGTTTCTTTATGTAGCTCTGGCTGTCCTGGAACTCATTCTGTAGCCCAGGCTGGCCTCAAACTCAAAGATACACGTGCCTTTGCTTCCCAAGTGCTGGCTTTAAAGGTATGTACCACTATTGCCTGACTATATTTTTACCCTCAGAAAGATTACAGTCTACTTAAGGAAAGTCAAACAGAGAAGCTATCTGGTAAGACAAACAGAAGCTGTCTGGTAAAATTAGGGTCTTTGGTGCTAGGTATTCAATGGAGAAAGGAAATCCAAAGACTGACTTGCTAAACAATGTGGCACATGCCTTTAATTCAGCACTCTGGAGGCAGAGGCAGATGGATCTCTGTGCCACCCTGGTATACATAGTGAGTTCCAGGCCAGCAAGGGCTACATAGTCAGACTCTGTCTTAAAAAGAAAGGAAAGAAAAAATAAAATAAAATAAAATACTGACTTAATTAAAGATGGATAGTATTTCAGTAACTGGAAGAGGGAAGCCAGTTTTGGAGGGAAAGAATCAAATAAGCATGGATGTTATTCAGATGAAACAAATGGACATAAAGTTTGGTAAGTGAATCCCTGAGAAAGGCACCCTAAGGACTCTTTGAATCCCTGAAAACAAAACTATTTGCATAGTAATTATACACTATTTACCTTTTTCATTGTGTTGATATTTGTACTGATGGTGCCAGAACAGTGGGTGAAATTGCTGGATCTTTACCATTGACTCAAGGCAATAGCACTAGACTACTGCTGGTCTTTGATGTTATTTATTTGTTTGTTTTTCCCCCTGTGTAGCCTTGGCTGTCCTGGACACACTTAGTAGACTAGGCTGGTCTTGAACTCACAGAGATCCGCCTCCTTCTGCCTCTCTGAGTGCTGCTATCACAGGAGTGTGCCACTGCGGCCAAACGGCTGCTCTTTGTCTTACTGTTCTGTGCTCCATTTTGGAGAAAGAAAGTTTGCTAGTTTCAACTTAAGAGTGCTTTATCAAGGATGCAATAAAAAATGATTGTTAATTCTTACTCAGTATTTGTTACTACATTGTATGTGTGTGTGTGTGTGTGTGTGTGTGTGTGTGTGTGTGTGCGTGCGTGTACGCGTGTACGCGTGCACGCGCGCGTGCGTGCATACGTGTAATCAGGATAATTTGCAGAAAGGAATCGGTTCTCTCATTCTGCCTTGTGTGTTCTATGGATTGAACTCAGGTTGTCAGACTTGGAAGCAAGCACTTTTACCTGATGATCCATCTTGTCAGCCCTAAATTTTAAAGTTCATGGTTTTAACTATTCTACATGGTGAAATCTGACTGTGTATAAAAGTATACTGCATACTTAGAACAGGTGTCTTAACACTTGTACGGTGAATCATAAGCTAAAGTAGCAACTTATCTCATATTCTGTTTTCCTTTGACATAATGATTGATAAACAGCAAGCATTGGCTTTTCAGACTTGGGTATCTGTCTGTAGGCATTTTCTCAAGAATAAACAAAATGAAACTGGGCATGGTGGTGCATGGCAGTGATCCCAGCACTTGGGAGGCAGATCATTGTGAGTTCAAGGACAGCCAATGCTACACAGAGAAACCCCGTCTCAGGGGGAAAAAATTTATTCCATTATGTCAAGAAAAATAAGATAGTATTTACTGCAAATGATAAAAGGAGTTGTCAAATGAAAATTAGAAATTTGGAAGATTGAGATTTACTACAACGACATTAACAACTTCTAGTACTTAAAAAATTCTGATGTCATCACTTTTTAAAATATGAATTTTTTTTTTTTTAAAAAGCTTGGAATGATGGGACATGCTTTTCAGGCCAGAATTTGGTAGGTAGAATCAGGAGGATTAGAAATTAAAGGGTAGTTTCAACCGAGCTAAGTGACTAGCTTAGCTATATAAAATCAACTTCACTGTTGTTGTTGTTTTAAAGTATATGTGTATATTTGTGTACCTGTGTAAGTCTATGCACATCGTGTGTGAAGGTGTATGAGGAGGCCAAGGGCTATCAAATCCTCAGAAGCTGGAGTTACAAATAAGTTGTGAATCACCAACATGGGTACTAGGAACCAAACTTGCAAGAACAATAAGCCTCTTTTCATCTCCCACACTCCACAGTTTTGAATCTGACTTAAAAGACTTGCTTGTGGAACTAGCCTGATTTCAACTTAACCTTTCTCAGCCCTAGCCATAGTGATTTGCTGTCTTTTTTTTAAAAAAATAATAATTTTTTAAAAGTACTAAACTGGTCATGATTGTGCACACCTTTAATCCCAGCACTCAGGAGGCAGAGGCAGGTTGATCTCTGAGCTCCAGGACAGCTAGAGTTACATAGTAAGACTCTCTCAAAAAAACAAAACAAAACAAAAAACACAGCCACAGTCAAATTATATATTTTCCTTATTTCCAAAAGAAATCTTGTGTCTTTTAATAATTTGTTGGTTTTTGTTTTTCGAGACAGAGTTTCTCTGTGTAGCCTTGGCTGTTCTAGAATTGCTTTGTAGATCAGGCTGGCCTCGAACTCACAGCAATCCACCTGCCTCTGCGTCCCAGAGTTCTAGGATTACAGGTGTGTACCACTCCCCTGGTTCTTTTAATAATTATTATTTCCTTTTTTTCTTCTGATCGGTTCTAACCCTGGAAACACTAATCTGATGGTCAGAATTATTGGAAAAGGAAAATAATTCTCCCTTCTCCATTGGATTGTATCTTTGTGTGGGCTAGGGGTATAGCTCAGTAATAGATCATTTGCCTACCCTGGGTTTAAGCTCCAACACCATAAAGTAAAACTTACACAAGTACACACACTTGAGAATGTCTCTGGATTTTCTTCATGATCCACGTTCAAAACAAATTACTGCCATAAGTTTCACACAGAAGTAGATAGTTAAATTAGTTAAACAAACATTGAAGATATTTGAAATTTATATAATTCATATAATGCTGTTCTCACATTGTCATTTTGTTTTGAAAATACCACTAAGTAGATATAGTTATGCTTATAGATAGTTGTGATTATTTTGAAATACAGTAGCATAATTAACTAGATAATTCCTTAGTGTTTAAGAATGTCATCTGACCAAGAGGTTTGAGAATTGTCACCAAACAAAATAATTCCAAAACAGCATACATTGACACAAGCACCAGCTAGAACAATCTGTATCGATACTGAATGTCTCCTATGTGCACAGAGTACTTATTTGTATACCTTTGTGGTTTTCCTTATGTAATGTATCTTAGAAATTATAGTTTAAGTCAGAGATTTACAAGTCATAGCTGCTTTCAAGTGTGTACACACTTTTAAGTATTTAAATGAGTTTACTTGGGTTCATAATTGAATGTTGGAACTACTTATTTCAGGTTTTGGGTAACTCCTAATTAGATTTTTAGAATTCTCCAAACTTGTCTCATATCCATTATGATTTCTTAAATTATTCATTATATTCTGTGTGTGTATATAATGAATAAATGTCTCACATATATAAATCTTTAGTGGCTTTCATTTTTTGAAACAAGGTCTTACTGTGTAGGCCTCTGTACTCTTATTCACTGTATAGACCAGTAGCCTCAAGCTTATACAATTCTGCCTGCCTCTACCTTGTATTAGATTTTGGCATAACTGATGTCCACTAACATCAGTATTCAGTTCAAAAATGGCATCTGGTTTTTTTGAGACAGGGTTTCTCTGTGTGACAGAGTCTTGGCTGTCCTGGACTCAGTTTGTAG